TTTCTGGTGTGTGCATGTAAAACATAATAGTCAGAAGAAGTAGTGGTTTGAAACACAACATGGATGTACAGGTTAACCATCCTTCTTTCTTCCTTTTGTCCACTTATCTTCCCCCATTCATCTCTTCCCTCCCTTTGTCCCTTTCCTCCTATAGACAAATAGTCCAAATTATTTTTTCTACAAATCCATTCTTGGACTCAATTATTTCAGACTATGTTATCATATTCAGCTTGTGTTCCATAGAGATCTGAAAATTACATATAGTTTTATCAGACATCCACTGGTAATCTCCTGTTATTTCAGTTCCAGGTTGTCTGATGCCATTATTTGGCCATGGTGGGCACAGTTCTCACATATGGTTATGTTAACACACACACACACACAATTTAAGGAAACTTTAAAATAGTAAATTTCATAAATGAGAAATTTGTTTTCATCAAAGATGGTTTCAAATTAAGTATTTAACTTAGTTTCAACTTTAGCCAAGTAAAACAACATCTAATTTAAAAATAGTTTAAAAAGAGAAATAGTTGCTCTATTTTAAGAGTTATGTATAATAATGGGAAAGGAAGCACAAGGAAATTAGATACTAGTAAACTGTTCATCTAATCTTTAAAACTCTCCCTGTCAAAAATAAATACACATCAAAATCACCATAAAACAAAAACAAAATGGAGAGAGCCAGGAAGTTGATTGATTGATATCGAGCCACATCAATTGACAGCCTGGGTCATAAAATTAATTGTAATTTGACTTAAATATCAGTCACTGCATTTTAACTCTGACACTGGGTACATTCATCCATAAACACTCTTTTCTACAGTTATAGAGGTCATAATTCATACTACATATGAATAAATAATATATACTTTCCTAGCTACAAACAAGCCTATAAATGTTATTAAAGCCAAGTATGCAAATAGACATATTTCTAATTAAACAATATTTTACCATTATTATACTTAAATGATGGAGCATACTAATTGCTTCTGTTATCTGTAGTATACCTTTGTGTAAGCCTAGATAACTCTAGTTTCATATATCTATATCTGTCTATCTGTCTATCTATCTATCTATCTATCTATCTATCTATCTATCTATCTATCCATATATATATACTCATTTATAACAAACACACATGATGATTGAATCATTTTCCTTTGAACTGAAGAGCTGAAAGAAAAGCCATTTTGGTTTCATTCACAAAGAATGCATTAATGTGGTCCAGTACTGTAATTTTGTGAGCTATTCTCATTTTGGGCTTTTGTCATGGAATTGAAATCATTTTCTTCCCAAATCAGCTCTCCACAGATGTCCTACAAAAAACCCCATGAATCCAGTATTTGATAGTGATGTAGTTCCTTTTTAAGATCAGGCTTTTGCATTTTCTTCCCTGAGAAGACCATGGTTTTGTAGTTCATTCCAATGCAAGTCTTTCCTGATATTTGGCCTGCTTCTTGGTGTGAGATGCTTGGGATGCTAGGAAAATGTCTTCAAAATGGTAATCAGAGGGTTTAGGTGGCCGTACCATACCAATGAGAAGAAATTAATATGATACTAACTTTACTGCTGTTGCATGACTTAAGGCTCATTGCTGAAGATGACTGCTTATCTTCAAAGGTAACTATATTATTTTATAAATCTTTTTATTGGTTTTTATTTTTCTCTGCTTCCTTCCCTGCCTTCCCCCCCTTCAACCCTCCCCCAAGGTTCCCATACTCCCAATTTACTCAGGAGATCTTGTCTTTTTCTACTTCCATGTAGAATCGATCTATGTATGTCTCTCATAGGGTCCTCATTGTTGTCTAGGTTCTCTGGGATTGTGATTTGTGACTGGTTTTCTTTGCTTTATGATTAAAAACCACTTATGAGTCAGTACATGTGATAATTGTCTTTCTGGGTCTGGGTTACCTCACTCAAAATGATGTTTTCTAACTCCATTGATTTGCCTGCAGAATTAAAGATGTCAATATTTTTTTCTGCTGTGTAGTACTCCATTATGTAAATGTACCACATTTTCCTTATCCATTCTTTGTTCAAGGTGCATTTAGGTTGTTTCCATGTTCCATGTTCTGGCTATGAGCATAGTTGAGCACATGTCTTTGTGGCAAGATTGAGCATCCTTTGGATATATACCCAAAAGTGATATTACTAGGTCTTATTTTACAAATCTTATGTTTTCCTTTGGTGAGAAAACATAACAATTGCTCATCAAATATGGTAGTAATTGAAGGAAAAGGTATAACTTTTTTCTGTATGTGCATATATGTGTGTGTATATGTTCTATGAATGTATGGTCATGCTATATGGACACGTGTGTGTGTGTGTGTGTGTGTGTGTTTAGTCAGTGGTTGAAGTCAGGGGTCTTTCTCTATTTCTTTTCAGCTCATTTTTTTGGATAGGACCTCTCCCTCTCACTAACTGGGAGCTTGCTGTTTCAGCTCCACTCTACGGATTTGCCTGCCTCTCTACCTCTAGTGCTGAGATTACAGATGACATGTGTCACACGACCTGGAGATTACAGATCCATGCCACATGACTTGGAGTTTTTTTGTTGTTGATTTTGTTTTTGTTTTTGTATTTTTTTTTGTTTTTTCGAGACAGGGTTTCTCTGTGGTTTTAGAGCCTATCCTGGAACTAGGTCTTCTAGACCAGGCTAGTCTCGAACTCACAGAGATCCACCTGCCTCTGCCTCCCAAGTGCTGGGATTAAAGGCGTGTGCTACCACCGCCTGGCATGACTTGGAGTTTTATGTGGGTGCTAAGGATACAGACTCAGGTCTTCATGTTTATACAGCAATCATTTTGCCCACTATTTAAATCAGAAATTTTGGTATAGTATTTTTATTTGAAATTCAGGTTCTAGGCCCCACACAATGAGCCATGATTCCTTCAAGGATGTCTTACAGACCCTGTGTTGTCTGGAGTTCAGCATAAAGGCAGAGAATGTCTGGTTATCGTCATACCACACTCACAGAAAGAGGCATAATATTGGGGTGAGAGGGGCAGAAGAGAACTGTTCTCAGTTATTCTTAAAACCCGTGGTTCTTGTCTAGAGCGCACATGTTACTGATTATCGGGTGTTGTATTTAATGTCCATGAGCATTTGTCCTCTCTTTTTTTCTCTGTCAGAGGTGCTATGGAAAAGGGATGTGCTGGACCACACACCATCATCTTTTAATTTGTATGTTGGTATAGGAAAGTATCATAGCATTCATCTATGGTTATAGTTGTTATGTTTAAATAATAGCCATGTTGACCTAACAGAGTCACCCCCTTGCCTTGTATGATGTTAAACATTTTCAAAATTACCCACATATCAAGTATAAAGTGCCTTGAAGGATAAGGTTGGGTAGAAATCAGGCAGGAAAAGCCCTGAGTGAATAGTGACATTTCAGGTCTGAACGAGACTCATGTTACTTGCAGTCCATAGTGGCAAGTGTTCTATCCATTTCAGCAGGACAGCAGGATGCTACGTGGGTGGGGAAACTCAATTGTAACAGGAACAGATGGAACATAAATGCTTTCATTGGGCTCCACCTAATCAAGATAAAAAAGCCGTAAAGGTGACACACTGTGAACATAAAGCCACCATGGGTGCTGCAGAGGGACCAGGACGCTGAGCCTGGGATGAACAAAGTCCAGAGGAGAACGTTACCCTCTCCCCATTCTCAGTGACAACAAGACTTCTTCAGGGCAGTGAGTCCAAGTCTTGGTCTTTTAAAGCACCTTATTAAAAATTAAATTAGAAGACAAGTTGAAAAGTCTAACTTATGTTTAGAATACCGTGGGCTGAGGTGGAGAATGCCTACTGATCATTGTTTCTGAAGGTGGACCCCAAATCTCAGTGTTATGGTGTCATTTTGAGTTACAGTTGGTTATATAAGAAAGAGGTCTTCCAAATACTTTTCTGTATAAAATACAACTCTCCCCTTATTCAGCCATTCTGTAGATATCTGTGGAGTGTTTTTTAATCTTTTAGGGACTGGGCTACATAGATACCAGAGGTACAAGAAGAAGCAAGCTGGATGTGTTCCTGCTGTCAGAAGCAATGGGGTTGCTGTTTACTATGGCCTGAACAACTGTGACCACAGTGACCTTTCCTCTTCCCTCTCTCCATCTCTTCACAAGATGACCAGAGTTCCTGTCTTCAGGAGCTAGACCCTTTCCCTCCCACCCATCCAAATCTAGGTTGATAGAAAGCATGGATGTAACTCTGTCATTTACTTTAAGAGTTATGTAAGTGTGGGTGGGTATGCATGGAGGCAGAGGCCTGAGGTTGATATTGGGGGGGGTCTCTCTTGATTACATTCCATATGATTAATTGAGGTAGACTCTCTTGATTGAGCCAAGAACTCACTAACACAACTGGTTTCTCTAGCCAGCTTTCTCTAGGGATACCAGTCTCATGCTTTCTGAGGGTTGCAACCACAGGCAGGCTGTTGCCCCCTCCCGCTCAGTATTCATATGGATTCTGAATATCTAAACTCTGGTCCTCATGCCTGTGTAGCAAGTACTTTTTCCACTGAGTCATCTCCCCAGGACACTGTCTATTTCTGTCACCAGACCTGAAGAGCTCTGTTCGCTTTTCTCTTCCTCAGAACCGGTGGCCATGATGAATACAAGCTTAAGACAACATTCTAGAGGATGAGTCTATGGATCCAGCCACTCCTCCTGTTGGTGTCTTAGATGAGGGGACTGATAGCCCCAACAGGGACTGGCTTGAGTGAGAACACCTAAAACTGACAGCACAGACAAGCCTGGCCCAAAGTACTCATGTATGACACAATTGTAGTTTGTGTAGATGGCTGCTTCTAGACTCTAGGTTTGGGAATATTTTGCTGTACACGAAAAACTTAATTAGATGCCTTCAGCTAGAACGTGCGACTCCAAATTTGTGCCAGGCATAGAAATTTCTTGTATGGCTTATCAAATTACCTTGGTAACTGCCACATCGTCACTTCACTTTGTGCTGTGTGGACATGGCCTCAGCGATAGCTGTCAAAATACAGACACTCTCGGGAGGTTTGACATTGGATCTCTGGTCTGCAGAATGGGAAGTTGACTAATGTGCTTGACGTGTGACACGTGGAATATAATATATATATATTTTTGGAGAAAACACAAACAGACAGAACATAAACATTGATCACCATGACACACTATTCATACTTCTAACTAAAAAGTTAACACCAATGCAGTTAGTCTTGTTTCCCAACAATATGGCTATTTTAAACAAATGAACAAATAAACACAAAACTCACAGTAAGACTGATGTGGGATATCCCTCTGTATGCTGGGAATACCATTGCCTAATAAAGAACTGCTTTGGACCTATAGCAGGAAAGAACTTAGTTAGCTATGTGGGGAAAACTAAATTGAATGCTGGGAAAAGAAAGGTGGAGAGAGAGAAGCCATGTAGCCTTGCCAGAGACAGACACTGGGAATTTTACCTGATAAGCCACAGCCATGTGGCAATACACAGGTCACTAGAAATGGGTTAAGATATAAGTGCTAGCCAATAAGATGATAGAGCCAATGAGCCAAGCAGTGTTTTAAATAATATAGCTTCTGTGTGATTATTTTGGGTCTGAGCTGCCGGGTGGCTGGGAAACAAGCTAGCAGCCTCTTCACAGCAGATCTGATGAATATCTGTTCATGAGATTTGGACTCTGTTTGAGCTAATCTAATGATTCACATAGGCAGAGCCATATAGGCAGGCCTCCTTCATATCTGATTGGAATGTCTGCCTGAAAATATCCACTATAGGATTTCCTATGATCCCAGACATCTTCGCATGACTGCCTCACCCCTAAAGAAAGACATACTGGGAGAGATGGGTGGTGAAAAACAGCTTTGATTTCTGTTAATTTTCAAATATGTCAGAGCATCTTTTCTGCTCCTTGCAGCTTCTCTTCTTGGTCCAGCTCTCCCAGCTGGGCCTCTGGGAAGCAGCCAGTTCCAAGCTAATGTGCTTCCCTGTTATCTGACGCTGACGCCGCTCCACAGAGGCAGTGATAACGATAAGTGCTAATTGGATGTATTTCTAAAGCAAACCTTTTAGTTACTTAGGACAGAACTCCTCCAATTACTCTTCCCTTCTACTCTCTGGCTGTGCAAGAACCACTCTGATGTGCAAACACTGGGTTTGGAAGGGAGTCAAAGGCAGTCTTGGAGAAGCTGAATGGCAGTCTTGTTTAAGTCAGGTAGGGGCTAAACTGGAGAGATTGGGGGCTATGCTTCCATTAGAGGAAGGACAGGGTAGGTCAGGCAGGGTCCTGCAGGAAGCTACCACTCAGCCACGCCCCTGTAAGATTGGGAGGAAAGACCCCACTTGGGGAAGGAAGGAAGAGTTCAAACTTCCCTATTTCCATCCTTTTCTGTAATGAAAGTAAACTGTTTCAATGCAAAGGATTTGAATCCTAGCTTGGGACAGGTAGTTTCAAATTCTGTCCTCTAATAGGCTACCCATGGGTTGGAGAAAAAAAAATCATTTTAAATCCTTAACCCTTTTAAAGTGACCCACAAGAGTTTGAAAGCCATGAAACATGAAGGACTGCTTGGAAAAAGGAACAGGTTATATGTCAGTGTGGATAACAATGAGAGGGAGATGTGGGGAGGTGAGGAAGCAGAGCAGAAACCCATTTCTTTATGGCTTTGATTTTTTGAGCTGGAAACAGGGAGATAAATTTGTTAATACTTGCTTTTGTGATGGGAATGAATCTGCCACCATTACCACATGCTCTCCAGGGAAACTGGCTCACATGTTTTATGTTAGCCATGTGTCTCATATAGGTATGAGGATTCCATGTCTCCCGAGGCAAATTCATCTAGGCTGTATTACATAACTATGACATTGTTAGAAAATGGAGCCTTGGCTAGGCTGGGTAGTCGCAGTTGGGGGTGAAAAGGGACATGGAGAGATGGGTATGAAGAAGAGACAGCAAGTGGGAACAACTACCACTGTGATGGTCAAGGCTTTCCTCTGGCTGCTCCTCTGCTGGACTCTGAAGTCATTTGTATAAAGGTGCTGTCCTCATAGCCCTGCCCCTTGAGAAAATAAACTTGACCCAAAATTTTGACCCAAGCATTTATTTCACAGGAGTCTTGAACTCCAGTTCCGTGTTATAAAATTTTATATGCTGTGATTTTTTTCAGGTGCGGGAAGCATTTTGGAACACTTATTTATTTAAAATTTATTGATAATTAAGTCATACGTGTACTGACATTTTAGGTTAGATGTCAAATTATTGCAAATGGTGAGTTAGGAAGTTTTGAGAGTATTGGAGATAACTTCTTCATTTCTTATATGGTTATAATATTATGGATAAATCTTGGATCTTCCTGGGACTCTCCTGGACATAGGAAGGAACACATGTCCAAACATCTAATCACTCTCAAATAATTTCCAAATAGTATGGACAGTGTTTAAAATAGATTTTAACATAATAGTTAGCAATATTCTGGTATTTGCTCTAGTCAGACACCAGTTATTACAAACCAAACCCTTAACAAATACAGAGATGAGTATACTTTGGTTTGTTTTTCCCTTTTCTCCTTTTCCATAACATTGATTTTGGGGACTATCTTGTATTTATAACCACAGCAGACAAGGATCTTTAACAACAGAATTGGAGTGTGGTTGACTTTTAAGTGGCAGAGATATTAGTGTGATATTGTTGGGATATAGAAAGTTTCTGTGTGAAACAAGTACTCCAAAGTAGAATTACATCTATGATGTACTACAGCCACTAATTTTGCAAAGAAGACAAGGCTAGGAGGATAGTAACTTTTCGCAGCTTGATAGATGGTCGGTCATCATATTTTTATACCTAAATAAACATGTTCAAATATATCGAGCACATTTATGTGACACATCTTTCTGACATCATGATGAGAACTTGGTACTCCCCCCTCTCTTCTTGGGCCTGGCCTCAATTCCCCAGTAACTGATCTCCTAAAGGTTTTGAATATTGGATTTCTACCAGGTGATATATATTTTTTTAATAAGCTATACATAATTCTAGAAAGCATGTACCTGATGGTTAGTTCGATCCACTGTGTTAGCCGTGGAGGGGTGGTCTCTAGTGTTCTGACGGACTCGAGTGGAGTTCTGCTGTTCGATCGTTGAGGAGGTTGGGATGCAGAATTCTCTAAAGCAGCGCTTGAAGTTTTCATCCAGGAACGCATAAAGAACAGGGTTCAGGCAGCTGTTTGTGTAACCCAGGGCGATGCAGAAGTGCCAGGAAACCGTCTGGAAGGTAGTCTCTGGAATCGTGATCAGGGCTTTGATGATGACGTAGATGTGGATGGGGGTCCAGCAGACGATGAACACAGCCACGACCACCAGCACCATCCTGGTGATCCTGCGCAGGTTCCTGTCCTTTTCCTTGGAGCCCGACAGCATGCGCACACTCTTGAGCCGTAAGATCATCAGTCCGTAACACACGGTGATAATGAGGACCGGCATGATGAAGGCAAAGATGAAAACGCAGATTTTGAGCAGGTTCTCCCAGTACCAGGTGGGATGCGAGAACGTGAGGGTGCAGTCTATGGACCCTGGAAGAAAAGAATTTTCAAGGAAAATTAGCAGCGACATTTAGTTATAGCATTAAGTACGGAAGCTGTTCCTTGGTCTACTAATAGCTTTGACCTGAGCTAAGTGAAGGTTGTTGCTTACACAGACGTGTGAGGAAAGAATGAAATGAAGAAGGAAACTCATTTATTGATTACAGAGAATTTACTTCCTTTTCTCCCCTTCCTACATTTCCCATTTTTCTGTCCACGTGTATCACATTAAGATTTTATGAAGCGAGAGTTATGCACATTTTGCGGTGAATCAGACACTTGTGAGATTTATGCTGTTATAAAAGCTATAACCATCGTCCCAGGTTTCCGGGAGTTTCCTGCTAACGAATGTCTCCCCTCCATTTCAGAATGGCAGTTGCTGTTCAATCAGGACAGGTAAATTTGTCAACTGCTTGAGAATTTAGAGCAAGCCTCAGTGAAACGTTCTCTGGACTTAAGCTTAAATTATGTTTGAAAAAGCTATGTTCCCATGTATTCAACATTTTGTTGAAGTAAGTTCAGAGAAATCAGCAATATGTAGACTTTGTTCTTATTAAAATACCTAGAAGGTCTGTAATTATAGAGAAATCTTCCCGTTTCAATATATTTAAAGGCATTTTCTTATTTTTATTATTTTAGTTTTTCTTATTATTTTATTATTATAGTTAATTAATTAACCAATTTCTTAATTGAAAGTACAGTTTGGCAAAGATACTGTGCCGTGAATTCTACTTGTCTCAGGATATCACCAACACATCAGAATGCCCATGTTCACCCTTACCCTGCCTGTATTTTGTAGTTGCCATGAACATGACAGGCAGACCAATGGCAGAAGAGAGGAGCCAGTTGCAGACATTGACAATTTTGGCATTTCGGGGGGTACGGAAATCCAGAGCCTTGACCGGGTGGCAGACCGCAATGTAGCGGTCCACGCTCATGGTGCAGAGGGTGAATATGCTGGTGAACATGTTGTAGTAATCTATCGAGATGACGATCTTGCAGAGGATGGTTCCGAAGGGCCACGTTCCCATCAGGTAGTTGACACTCTGAAAGGGCAGTGTGCTGGTTGCCAAGGCATCTGCCAGAGCAAGGTTGAAGATGTAGATGTTGGTGGCAGTCTTCATCTTGGTATATCTAGGAAACAGGAGAACAGTGGAGGGATTATGAGAGGCACCACCTGAAAGACTGGTGTCATTCCCTTAAGAAAACATCAGTTGTTAATGGAAGACCCTAAGAGCAGACCCAGGACTCTGTCAAAGTAACAGTTGATTTTTTTTATCACTGAGTTCCCATGAGATAAATAGTGATTTCCCTAATTGCAACTTTTCTTTTCTATAAAATAGTTATTACAATAGAAAACATGACAATTTTAAGTGTTGTTTATTTACTTGAGACAGTCTCATGTACCCCAGACTGGCCTTGAATCTGCTATACAGCATGGCTAGTTGAGCTCATTATCATGAACTCATGAACCTCCTACCTCTACCTTTCAGGTTCTGTGCACTGCTATTCTTAGCCCATTTCCTTGTCTTTAATGTAGTAATTGCTGTGATTGGTGCAATTGGCATGGGGAACTACAAGAGAGTGGATAATTATACTCTGCATATAAGAGAATATTTCAGCTATATGAAGAGATTTAAAATTATTGAACACTATTGTGGTACAAGGACATGTGTACCTCTGCATGTGCAGAGATACATATCGTAGATACATCCCTGTACTGGCTGATATGGGGCATGGAAATGATCATTGGTAAATAGAGCAGGTGAGGGACAAGTAAGGTAGAAAGCATTCCAGAAGCCCATATTTTGTCTTTAAGTTCAAAGAATGTGATGATAAAAGTAGACCTTGCTAGAAGGAGAACAAGAACTCTACTCAAGGCATAGAGTTGAAATGGTTCAATGAATGTATTTGGCATTCTGGAGAGTAATTTTCTACCAGGAAATGGCAGTGAGCATGAAGGGGAAATAATACAGATGCCAGGAGGTAAAGAAAGTGTATGTGATGATGAATAAGCCCTCACCCAGTGGTGATTGAAATTTAAGAAATTTTTGGCTTTATTTTTAAGATCTTTATTGAACTGTTATTGACATGTAAGAAAATATACATAGTAAGTGCAATTAGGGAAGTTTTGACATATGTATATCTGTGAAATCACTGTCATCAAAATCAGTTTTTGGCTGTATGCATAAAAAGTCCTTTTCTTTATATTGCTAAGAAGTTTGTCATTGTGTGATTATACCCCAACTCCATAATCCATTAATTTGTCAATAGGAAGTGACTGACATATAGTTTTTGGCTGTGGTATATTAATCTGCTGTGAGCACTCAGTTAAAAATAGAATGTACTTCCTCTCTTGGCTGAATAGTTAGGAGTGTTGTTTGTCTTGCATGCAAACAGAAAGTTGAATGATGAGGTATGGATGATACACAGAAGCATTTGTAATAATAAATTAGATTGATGATAGAATACATCCTGTACATAGATACTACTTATTGCTTTCCCCAGTTAGTATTTATGAGCTCAAATTCTTTAATAGTATCCCCAGAATTATGCTAGAGAATAACTTCCTTCCCATTCTCTGTCTGTGAGCTGTGCCCTAGGCTCTCCTATTGGTTCAGGCCACAAAGATGTTAAGAGATGGAGATCATAGGAAATAGGTATGACTTCTGGCTTCAGTGGAGTCACTATGGTTTGACTTTTTTTTACATGGTTCACATATTCACAGTGTGAATATATTAATATTCACTTCATTATTAATGAGGGTCTTTTAAGAGACAAGAGTAGCAGGAGATCTTTAGGCTATTGATTCAGGATTTTGTCCTCAAAATGAATTGGCCTATTCATCCCAACCCTGGTTGTTACTTGAGTGAAGAATGCTATAAAAGGGCAAGAATGAGCAATGCCCAGCAGCATTCTGAGCTTCCTCCAGACATTTCGTACCTTTTGCTAGCATGAATGCCTGTCATGACATCAGCCATGACATGAATGGTGTGATTCAAAGAAGGGCTCTCTCCAGAGCTGGCGCCATGTTGTTTGGAATTTTAGCCTTTAAAGTTGTGACTTATATAAACCTCTTCCTTTTTTATATATTTATATATTATCTGGTCTGAGTTTTTTTCCCATAAACATTGGAAATGAGCTAATTAAAAAACAGGAGGATTTTTAAATAGGGCATCAAACCTGATGATTTTATAGCCTATAGTTGTTGGGAAAACTCACTTGAAAATGGGGTTTCAAAGCCCCCTGCCTGAGGATTTTAAAGAACACAAGAGACTGCAATACTTGAAGCAAGGGCTTCCCTGGACTTTTTATTTACAGAAGCTAGTATACTCCTTTAAGATTTCAGTTTGTGCTTAGAGGCTTTCAGCCAAGCATGGTTAAAAATCTAAGTCATTCAGCACCAAACAGCTCAGTTCTGTGGGATTTGGTATTCTAGAGCCTTTGGTATAGGGCCTTAATTCAATGTTCCAAGGCTGTTTTGGTCTCTGTGAACAGCAGGGAGCTGAACCTTTATATTATTTCATGGGCATCACCAGGACCAACCAGCTGAGTCTGTTTCCTGAGTTCCACTTTGGACACCTGGCGCACTCTGCGGAACTTGCACAGCAATTGGTGCATTTCAGATGCAAGGTGCTGTAGGATAATGCTCTTGAACACTGTAAAGATTTGTCACTCACACTGGTTTAAAAAAATGCTGGTTGAATAGTATCCAGGCAGGAAGTATAGACAGGGTAACGAGACTAGAAGAATTCTGGGAAGAGGAAAGGAAAGATGCAGTCCAAGCCAGATGCAGAGGAAGCAAGATGAGAATACTTTACTGAGAAAAGGTACAAAGTCATGTGGCTAAACATAGATTAGAATTATAGGTTAATTTAAGTTGTAAGTGCTAGTTAATAATAAGCATGAGCAGAAAGCCAAACAGTTTATAATTAATATAGGCCTCTTGCGTGTATTTGGATCTGAACAACTGTGGGACCAGATGGGACAGAAACTTCCATCCTGAAGGCTACACTGAGGGCTATTACTTCCTTCAAAGATTTACTATAGGAGGATAGAGACAGCCAATTAGCTTGAGATAAGTCAATGGGATTAAAAAAAACCATATACCTGACAAACATAAAGCAGATAGTTCCACAGAAGCAAATGTTATGGAAATCAAATTATAATAGCGATTTTAAGCTTTAAAACTCATTTACTTTAATGTTCAAGATATTGAAACAATTTTGATGTTGTGATAAATGGAAAGATTTCCCCCAAAGCAGAAAATGTTTTTTTTTTTTTTTTAAGGTAAGCTATTGATGATAGGCCTGTGATCCAAAGGCATACTGTATGACATTAGGCACACTCTGGAGAGAGTACCTTCAGGCAGCTTTCTGACCCATTCCACTCTTGGCATTTTCTTTAAACTTATTTGCTCACTTAGAATGCATAGTTTATTTCAGTTAAAAAAATTATTTCCTCCCTTGGAATGAGGTGCTTGTGCAATAAAATATGATTAGTATTTATGATAAATGGAAAAGTGAGTGGAAGATATGCAAAAATTTCAATCCTGTAATGTACATGTTTATCACAGTATCATATGAGATTAACACATGGTTAATACATGCAATATTACTTGTCAATTAAATAAAACAAAGCAAATATTATAAAGCTTTTTCAATTGGCATTTTATGGAAGCACTGATATTAAATTTTTCTTATGGGTCTGTACACCCTTCCCCTGAAGTGAACTGGAATCTCAATACCAGTTACTCATGCTTTGAGTCATTTTAGTAGCTTTCTAAGTATATGAAAGAGAATCATAGGGCCTGGAGGTTTGCTGATGCCTTCGGTGTATTTCCACAGTCTTTCATCTGGAGAAATGGTTTGCTTGGGGAAGGGGTACTGCTACTCAGTAAAGGAGCCTTTCATTATGTTCTGCTCTGATGTGGTGGTCTGGATATCCTCTTAAGAAACTGAGATGAATTATCAGAGACACACTAGATTCTATAAGGAGTAAACAAGCCAGAATTAGCAAGCAGACAAAGATGTAAGATAAAGGAAGGATTGTCTTTGCCATTCTCTTTGCTTGAGAAAGTTTTGACAAAACCCATGAATATTAAATGCGATTCTTTCTCCATCCTTTAATTTCTCTACTTCTTACTATGCAAGGAGAATGGAAATAAAATGAAGGAAATGAGCAAGTACAAAAAGTGAATGAGCAAGGCTTATGGCCTGGCAGACTCTCTTCTGGACTCCCATGCCCTTCCTGGTGTTGGTTGCACTTTTTTCTACTAAGAAATGACCCAAATACTTGCTTTCTAGTTATCCTGTTAATAATTTCATAATATTGAAAATACATGCATTATAGATGAATGATTATGTTTTGTAAACTCAAAGGCATAACTATGCAAAATCACTTCAAATATGTGTTCATCTTAAGACCATCAGTGTTTGACTACCTGGGTATGTGTACAACCCATGTCCTAGGCTGGGGTGAGGCTGTGCAAAGCCTCTTTCATTGGTCCCTCTCACATGGCACATGCACACCTTTCACTTCTAAACGTCTACCCTTTGCATGTGGTTACAAAGCAACTACTGCCTGCTGTTACATTTGTTCTTCTTGTCATTTTCCCAATTATGGCTACTTTCTAAAACCTCACTGAGTTTAGTTCACTAATGGTAAATGAAACTGCAGCAATCCAACAACCTGTCTTTCCTCTGCTTTGTTTTTGAGTTAGTTCTTCAAATGGTGATGACTTTTAGTTCAGAAACAAAACTGACAGAGGAAGTCTGAAAACAGAAAGAATATATTTTCCAGTTTGGTTTGATGGCTTTCTATCAAAAATATCATATATATTTTATATCCTATTTATCACATATCCTTCACCCTTTCCTCCATTATACTATAGGTATTTGCAATGAAGCCAATTGGATTTGTAGAAGAAAAGTCTCCAGCCTTGGGCCCTTTCTAACCTTTCAGGATTTTACCAATTTGAGTGAGGAAGGAAGAGGTTTAATTCCACAAGGCTCAGTGAATTTCTTTTATAAATTTGGCACTGAATTGGAAACATATACTTGTTTTGCCATGACCTCTGTGTCCGCATCTGCACACAGAAATCCATATTTGTAATGGAGGAGGAACACCCCTTT